GTACGTACGTTACGTACGTTACGTACGTACGTACTACTATCTCTCTCTCTCTCTCTCTCTCTCTCTCTCTCTCTCTCTCTCTCTCTCTCTCTCTCTCTCTCTCTCGGCTGTGAAAAATGCTAGAGTGCACGTTAGAAACGCAGAATATGATAACGATAAGGTGTTAACTACGTATTTCTCTGATAATAACATGTTTCGGTCGAGAAAAAGACCATGCCTTTAATTACAACGGGCGAATAAGGAAGCTGCTAAAACACGCAACATAGTGATACGGTTCGATGGTCTTAAATCGACTAATTCTCACGATAGAAGTACCTGCTCACTCCGACTTATGATATTTCGTGCTAGTTCACCCATAAAATAACAGTCGAGGCTGAATTATTGGGAAATTTCGAAAACACAGAGACTGACATCAGCCCCTAGCGAAACGAGGCGTGTGGAAACGAAAGATCTCAGCCTTCCTACTTCCTATTTTCCCACTTTGTATTTCCTCGTCGATACGGCCACAAATTCGTGCACTTATGCCGTGTAGGAACTTGTCGTGATTTTGTACGCACCGTGTATTATCAGCCGTCAATCGTCTCTTTTAACGCGTCTCGTCGCGACGTCCGCATATTTCACGCTCCGCCGAGAAATAACTTTCACTAAATAATCCCCATAATGTTACTTCGGTATTTCAGGACAGCGCGCCATGCGTCAACCTTAAACTTACTTACGAGGGACGAAGATCGGGACGGGATCTGCGATCAGTGAGCGGCCAAAATGTCGAAGGTACGTCACGATTTTGATTAAATCACTTCGATTTACTACTAATACATTTTCAGAAAAGTACCGTTTCTTTCTACGAAATAAATAAATATCTAATTTTTTTTTTTTTTTTTAATTCACTAAGACCAATCCTCTTGCAAAACTTTCGGAAAGTAATTGCATTCAATTTGAAGAATTTCTACGAGCGATATTGAGTCATAAGAATATATTCCGACGAAAGCAAACTCTCTTTGTGGTAAAAGTGGAACGGAGAAGTGACTTGTTAGTCGGCGCGTGCCTACGAAACACCGCCGCATAAATTATCACCTCTATTAAGTCACTCTCGTTGTAACATGTTTCGACGGGTATCTGTATCTGTATTTTATTTCAATCCCGAATCCCGAATATGGATAGATATGCAGGAATTTGAGCTAATCACCGGTTAACGGCAATTGAACGGCCGCCAGTCATCGTCCCGTCGTTCCCGGGGCATTACCGACGGGTCTAGCAAATCGTTCGTCGCGTTTCGCAGGTTCGAATTTGCGTTCCGGGATGGACAAAGACACCTCGACGCGGCGGTCAGTGTAACCGGGTATTTTGTTACCGTGTACCACCGCGAGCGCGTATTACCGCGCGGCATAGTCTAACGGTGCAGCCAGTCCGGCGCGAGTGCACCGAAGCGTGCCGAGGCTCTCCTTCGTTCGCGATCCTGCATCACGGTTTGCCGCAGTCGTCGTTAGACGAGAGAGAGAGAGAGAGAGAGAGAGAGAGAGAGAGAGAGAGAGAGAGAGGAGGAGGAGG